GCGCAATAGGGTTCAATTACTCAGAAACAAATTATATTATATCTTATCCTATAACTATTGTATTTTACCCTACTCTTATTTTAAATTGTTTGTATAGGATTTTATTGGCGATATGTGTCTGAACTTTGCGCTTTGATATGGTCTATCGGCTAAAGCCTAAAGCCTCGATAAAGCTATCTTTCTAATTAGCATAAACAAGTTATGATCTGCAGGCTCCATAGAGCAGGCATATCACCCATACCTAAACATGGGTTGCATTGCCATGTTTGGTTGCATTTGCTCTTTACTTTCCATCTGCATTACTCTAGGCATCTCATCTGCCTTTTTATTTGCTAGAGCTCATTGAGAATGAAGTAGGCCCCCAGGATCTGAGACCAAGAAGAGGCTGCTCAGGGAATCTCATTTAGTTGCCTCTGAATTCCAGAGTGTGACCACATAAATAGCAGGCTTACCTGGCCTATAGCTACCAGTATAATATTTTTCAGTTGTCCTCAGGAAATCTTCCAGTTTATTTTAAATGTTTGGGGCAGACCATTTTATCCAAATCCTTCATCCCACATAGTCAAGCAAAGCAATATTATGTAGAATGATCCAACTACACCAGGGGCTAGATAAGAATGTTGTGTATTTTGAATTTTCTCTGTTACTTGGCATATTAAGCCACAATCTATTAAATAAGCCATGGTTTATTTGTTGATACAAGTGGGATAGTTAACGTGCCCATGTATTTGACAGTTTCTCGTTTGTAGAATTCAGAAAACTAACTTCTTGCTCTTCTTAGAATGGCTCTTTGAATGCCTTGTTCAGCGGCTAGTGGTAGTGATCTCTAGTAAGGAAACAAGCGAAGTTCTTGAAAGATGGCAATTTGACATCGAATGTGACAAAACTGCCAAAAATGAAAAGTAAGTATATTTGTTTCAAACAATGGAAAATGTAGGGTTTCTCTCCTCCCCCCCAACCTTATTTCTTATTCAAAAGTTCTTGCCATCCCTGAAGTAGATAGCCTGCCCAGTCCACATCACAGGCTTTGCTTTGTTTCTAGCATTATTCAGGTCTTACAAAGATTCCCACTCAACATGTTATTGAGAACCAAGAACATTCTTGTTCATTAATTGGTGTGTGTCTCTGTTTTACTGCCAGAGTAAGAATTTTAAAGCTATTTCACAAATATTAACATTTATTATCAGTTGTACTACCTTTTCTTTGTCTCCATAGTAGGAACAAAAGTGCTCAAAAGAAGAGAAATAGCAGATTGAATTCGTAATGTTATAGCCAAAATGTGTAGTTATTAGGATTAATATTAGGTTATTAGATTTAGTTTTAAGGCTTATAACTGCTATGGATGGATCAGATAATTTAGAAAAAGTACAGAAAGATGGATTGTAATGCTTGTATTAGCTTCTCATCTTGGACATGTTAATCATTTAAGTAGTTAGTCTATTATGCCTGCCAGCTAGTAATATTAGTGGTAAACAGTATTTGATTTGTATTTTACCTTCTTTTACACTGAGAACTTTTAATTCCTATTTTAGTGCACCAAGGCAGAAATCTCAGAAAGCTATACAAGATGAAATCAAATCTATTATCAGACAAATAACAGCTACAGTGACATTCCTTCCTTTGTTAGAAACTACCTGTAAGTAATATTGATTAATGGGGGAATATAAATTTGGTTTTGGTACATTTCACATGCTCTATCTAATTGCAATTCTCACAAAAATTCTATATGGGATGAGTCCTGTGACCAAATGCCTAGAAACCATCTGAGTTAATATGAAGCTGACTAAAGTTGCAATGTTTGTCATGTTTAAATAGTCGTCTATCTCACAATCAAGTAATTCTGGGTGGCATACTGGGGTAAGGGACAATGGAAGAGTTCAGGAGTTACAATCTGGTGGTTTCCCATGATTTATGTAACTGGGGTCACACATCACAAATTGGGATTTTTAATTATGGTTTGCTAAACAAGTCATAATTGACTGGAACTTTTGTTACTGTAAGCTTATACATTGCACTCAAGGAATGGATAGTTTTATTTAAATGCTTATTCCAGATTCATGTAAATAATTATTCATCTGTGATTCTTCCAGGTGCATTTGACTTACTCATATTCACAGACAAAGAACTGTCTGTTCCAGAAAAGTGGGAGGAGTCAGGACCACAGTTCATTACTAATTCTGAAGAAGTCCGCCTTCGTTCTTTCACTACTACAATACACAAAGTTAGCAGTATGGTGGCCTACAAAAAGGACACCTTGCTGTAATTTAGTAAATAATGTTGTATATGTATATGTGCCCTTTTGTAAGATTCCTTACCCAACAGTAATTAAGATTCTTTCAAAATACCAGCTTGGCTATCTGAGCTGAAGCATCATCTTGTAAATATACCTTAAGACTAGAATCCTGTCCTTTCAATATTGCAATTGAATTCTGTCAGTGTTTTCCATGTAATAGAATGTATAATGTATATGTCATTTTTATTAAAAAATAAATTCACATGGTTTTTATTTGGTCTTGATATCTTAATTAGTGAAGTAGCTTTTTGGTTTCAAAATCAAAAGTTTATTACAGATAAACTAGTTATGTGAAAAAGAAAATACACCCTCTTTTAGTTCTATGGTTTTAGATATCAGGACATATAAAAATCATCTGGTCCTTAACAGTTAAAAGAAGTAAATACAACCTCAGATGAACAGCACATGACATATTACACAATGTCATTTATTTTACAAAAAGAGAACAAAACTGGAGAAACCATCTGTGAAAAACTAAGTACAACTTTACTAAGGTACTTCCTTAGATATGAAGAAGCTAAGTAGCAGCCAGGTGCTGCTAATCAAGTGTCCTTGATCAATTGATTATCATCAGCAAGTGTGACTACCTTTATAAAAGCTGAAGTTTTAGGAGTTTGCTGGTCTCCAGTATTGAGGTATGACACAATGCCAAAAATGCATCAGCAATGATCTTAAGAGAAGCAGTTATCGCTGCCCATCAATCTGGGAAGGATTATAAGGCATTTCCAAACAATCCAAAGTCCACCATTCTACAGTGAGGAAGATCATTCACAAGTGAAAACATTCAAGACAGTTGCCAATCTTCCCAGAAGTGGACAATCCAGCAAATTCACCTCAAGGTCAGACCATGCAATATTCAAAAGAAATTGCAAAAAATCCAAAAGTTACATCTTGGGCTCTAGAGGCTTCAGCATGTTAAATTTTAAAGTTTATGACAGTACAATTAGAAAAAGGCTGAACAAGTATGTTTTCTTTGGAAGAGTTGCCAAGAGAAAACCTCTTCTCTCTAAAAAGAGCATGGCAGCATGGCAACATGGCTTAGGTTTGCAAAGTTGCATCTGAACAAATCACAAGATTCCTTTTGTAGAGATAACATGTTTGGTCATAATGCCTAGAGAATCAAACACAGCATATCAACAGAACACATCTCATACCAACGATCATAGTGACCGTTAGAGGGGTGAGATTTGGGCTTGTTTTCCAGCCACAAGACCCGGGTGCCTTGAAGTCATTGAGTCAACTATGAATTCTTCTGTATACCAACATATTCTAGAGTTAAATGTGAGGACATCTGTCCAACAGCTAAAGCTTATTCAACATTGGGCCTTATAACAGCATAATGATCCCAAGCACACCTCAAACCTACAATGGCTGAAAAAGATGTTGCAGTTCCCAGTCCAAGTCCAGACTTCAACCCAATTGAAATAATATGAGACCTCAAGAGAGCATAAACAAATCCCCACAAACCTCAATAAATTTTGTGAAGAGGCCAAATTTCTCCACAATGATGTGAAACTGTTAAAATCATACAGAAAATTATCTCAAGTTATTGCTGCTAAAGATTCTACACGCTATTGAATCATAAAGTGTACTTAGCTTTTTTACACATGGTTTCTCCATTTTGACTTTCTTTTTGTAAAATAAATGATGACATGGTATATGTCTTGTGTTGTTTTTAATCTGAGTTTGTATTTGCCTACTTTTAAGAACTAAGGACCAGATGATTTTTATATGTCCTGATATGTAAAACCATAGAACTCAAAAATGGTGTACTTTTTCAAATGACTATATTTGATTTTGCATATTGGATACGAATACATCATGCAAGTTAAAAATTTACCTGTTGAAAATGTTATATTCCGATGTTGACTACTGCAATAAGGAAAATAAGAGCTTTAGCATAAGTAAACAACTATACATAATGGAGAATCAAGGTGGTAGTTTTTTGTTGCAACTGGAATTGTATAAATCTACTTTATAAATAGATCCTATATGTAAACTGAACCCTGGACTTTCAGGGAAGAATTGGCAATTTGAATATGGCTACGCAGAATAAACAATGGACAAGGAGAGAACTTGAGATGACTCACAAGTATTCCATCGTTGTTCCTTGGGAGGAGACAGCAGTCTTTTACAAATTTAGAGTTCTGGGTGATTAGGGAAAGCCTTCCTTTGCTCAAACCAAGGCTAGCACCTTTCAAAAGAACATACCGTACTTCCTTTTCTAATCACTTAGAAATTGTTTAATTGCTTTTTAGTTATTACAAACCTTTGAATCAACAGTAAAGTGCAGGTGACTTTCCTTTAATCCTTAACAAAAAGTTTTAAACACAAGTTTAAAAACTTCATCCAGATTGATTTGAAATAAAGTTTTGGAAGTTATTATAAAAATCCTTTATGTGAAAATACTTTTGTTTTGAATTCTCCTAAAAAAGAACACAAATAGAAAGTCTTTCAAGCACTAAATACACACTCTAGGCAGAAATGAGTTGTAGATAAGATGTGAGGGAGGAAAAACCAAAAATATCAACGGAAAGAAGCCACTGAAGATGAGATGAGTAAGTCTTTTGGGGAAGGGGGGGGCATATAGTCCTGCTTTGCCTTTTCTTGATTTTGTTTAGTAGAATCTCGTATCACCAAAGCACATTGTTTTGGTTTTGCCAAACCATAACTGACTCAATTGTTCTATAGAACTCAAACACAATGGTTCAAAATAAAACTTTTATTTTGTGTTTATCCCTATTCAACTTTTATATAAACTGAGCCAAAGGAATTCAGTACCTATATTTCATTCTTTTATTTATTAAATTTGTTTGCCGCCCATCTCGCTGCAAGCAACAAAAGCTTTAACTTTTAAAAGGATATTTTACAATTACTTTTATAAAATAATTTTGGATAAGTTGTATTTACACACATGTAGGGAAATTTGTGTACATCAGGTTGCATTGCTTAGTGTCCCTCAGTTTCTACATTTTAAGTTTTCTCCATTGTCCTTTCCATATTAATTTGGAAGTCAAAAATTGTAGATGCTTCATATGTCTGAGATTTTACAAATTCTTTTTCTATGTTCAATACACATAATCATATTTTGCTGTTGTTGATCACATCAATTCACTTGAAGCCTAGTTGCTGGATTACCTTTGTTTTCCTCCTCCAATTATAAAATAACTGCCACATTATCTCACAAGCTTCTGGAAAATGAATGTACATCATGGAGTACAAATAGATGCCTTTCAGAATTTCCTCTGAAAACACGTTTCTGAAAAACAGTACAGGTCAATTTTAAAAGCATCAAAACGGCATTTACTTCTTGAGAAGAAATGCTAAGAAAATATTTTAAAATTGAACTGAAAGCAAGTTTAAAAAGAAGTTACAAATGAGATGTAATTTTATCACAATATTGCAAATTTTAAGAATGAAACTTTAAAACTGAGTACATTCCATTTGAATGGGACTTACATAATTTAATAGTTTACTGAATTTATATGCTGCCCATCTTGCTATCATGACTGGTGGCTTACAACATGAAAAAGCAATATTATAAAACATTACAACAGTAAATATAGCAGAATTAACGATTAGTTAAGGTGAGTGTGCAATGGAGTGGAGGTGGGATCTTCTATTTAATCCATTAACCACCTCGAGTGGCACACCAACATTTGGTCAATCACCAGAGCCAGACTTTAAGGCTCTTTCAAAAGGATGGAAGCAGATCTCACCTCAAGAGGTATGATGTCCAGAGGATGGGAGCCAAAGCAGAAAGGCTATTCTGGATCCCGCCAGCTGGAATTCCTTGGCCAAAGGGGTCGAGCAAGCCCCTTCTGCCAGCACAGGTGGGGTAAAATCCCGTTGGAGTCAGATAGCTCCTCAGTTATGGGGATTTATACCATTGGAGTTATACAGAATATAACCCTATTGAATAGCCCTGACTTGAATCTTATGCTATTCCTGCTTGTGGCTTATTAGGATCGTCATATGTGAGGATAACAGAATATAGTCCTCATTTAATGATCACTTGTTCAGTGAATTGACATATATGATGATGCCAAACCAAGTGGTAGTTATAGTCGGCCCTTGCACTTATCTCAGTTGCAGTGTCCCCACAGTCACATGATTACAATCTGGATGTTTGGTGCCCAGCTCGCAACTATGTTGTTGCAGTCATGTGATTGCCATTTGCAACCTTTGCTGCCTTCCTACAAAGAAAGCTGGCAGCAGGTTGCAATGGCAACCAAGTAATGTCCTTGCTTAATGACACAGAGAGATTTGCTTAACAAAGGCAACTGAAGGTGCTGAAATTTTCTTGACTAAGTGGCATGATCATGTTGCACTTTTACAACATTGCTGAGCAATGGAAATTCCAGCCCCAACTGCCATCATTAACCAGGGACCTGCATGAACAGTTCTAGAGTTCGTGTTTATAACTGACCACACTATTGATTCATTTGGCTATTATCTATTCTTGCCTGAACTCAGCAAACAAAACCAATTATCAGTATTATTGAAATTCTAATTCAAAACACAGAAGAAGCAAGGTTAGGGAAGGCTAGTGGAACACATCGAAAGATGAGCTTTAGCTTATCTATCGTTCTGAACAACTGTACTTTTAGGAAGAATCCACTGGAAAAATTTAATTTGTTTAATTTGACTTCTGGTGACTTCATAAGCACATTTGTATCTTTGGCAGAAATGGTTGACAAGTACCATTTTTGAGGTGGTTATTTTTGACATATCAGTCTAGTGCTGTAAGCTGATGAGTTCAGAACCCAACAATTGCCAAGTTAATGCAGTACCTACCTGTATCTAGTTCAAAAGACGTATGAGCTGATTAATATCATTGCCTCGAAATCCAGGATTACCCATCTCTTTCTGAAATCCCATTTTATTACGGGCTGCATGCCGAGCGACGGACAGACAGAATGGCCACAAAAAATTATTGACTTCATTAAAGTACTTTCCAGCTGAGTAAACTTCATGAATAACATCTTCCAGACAAATAATGCCATGGTTTCCTATGGAGAGAAAAAAGTGTTTTGGAAATGAAATGCCCTTCAATTGTCATCGGATTGCAAAGAAACACTGTCCTAACATCCCATGCCATTTGTTATCTTACCCAGATGTTCCTCTATCAGAACATTATCTGTCAAAGCAACCTTTTTATTTTGGATTTTTGCATGGCCTCGTTTCAGTATCAACTCTCGAATAGATTTGAGATTGGGATACCTGTGTAAATATAAACTTAGTATTAATTTTGGAAATAACAAAAAACTCAAGACAATTTACAACATCCTAATGGAATTATTTGTCCAAACTGATCCAAAAAGGAAAGTACTATACTATATATTCTTGCTAGCTAGCTTTTGTTTTTAAGACATTACATTTTGTATCTTACAAACAACCTGAACAATTGTGAGAATTTTGTCTTAAATTGCTCTTTCAAAAACATGCACATCATCTCCATTCTTATTTTCTTTCTGCCAGCTTAATGTCAACCTTCCAATGTCACAGCACTTATAGTCTAAAATTTGGATTGTTCCATCAATTTATTACCATGATTCAAATTTGAAGATGTGCAATATCCCAAATAATTCATGATAAAAATAGAAAACTGATAACCTATTAGTATGTATTTGAATACCAAGATAAACACTATATTATTAAAACATTAACAAAAACTTCAAACTTTGCACAACATATAATAAATAATAATAATAATAATTTTATTTATATACCGCCCTTCTCCCGAAGGACTTGGGGCGGTGTACAGCCAGAATTAAAATATAAATATACAATATCATAGTTAAAATTAATTAAAATCATTAAATAGTTTTGGCCGAATTTTAAAACCCAAAATTAAAACCCAATTTAAAATCATTCAGTTAGACAGCCCCGCCTGTCGGAACAGTAGGGTCTTGAGGGCACAGCGAAAGACCCGGAGCTCAGAGATGTTACGAATATCCGGGGGCAATTCATTCCAAAGGGCAGGAGCTCAGACAGAGAAGGCTCTCCTCCTGGGTGTCGCCAGCCGACAAAACTTGGCCAATGGTACCCTGAGGAGTCCCTCTCTGTGGGAGCGAACTGGTCGGTGGGAGGCTGTTGGTGGCAGAAGGCGGTCCCGTAGATATCCTCGTCCTATGCCATGGAGGGCTTTAAAGGTGGTGACCAACACCTTGAATTGCACTCGGAAGACCACTGGTAGCAGTGCAGCTCGTGGAGGTGTTACATGGGCGTAACAAGGTGCGCCCATAACCACCCGCACGGCCGCATTCTGGACCAGTTGGAGCCTCCGAGTGCTCTTCAAGGGGAGCCCCATGTAGAGAGCATTACAACAGTCCAGATGGGAGGTGACAAGAGCGCGAGTGACCGTGCGCAAGGCACCCCGGTCCAGAAAGGGACGCAACTGGCGGATCACGCAAACCTGATAAAAAGCCCCCCTGGCTACGTCTGTCATATGCTCTTCTAAAGACAGCCGTGAGTCCAGGAAGACACCCAGATTGCGGGCCCTCTCTGTGGGGGGCAAAGATTCACCCCCAATAGTCAGCGGTGGCACCAGCTGACTATACCAGGACGCTGGGAGCCACAGCCACTCAGTCTTGGAAGGGTTGAGCTTGAGCCTATTTCTCCCCATCGAGAAACGCACGGCAGCGGGACATCACATCAAGGGCATCATGGGGGGGTGGGGGGGGGGGGGAATGTACAGCTGGGTGTCATATCCCAGTTTATTGCTGGGCAATAATCACTAAACATTCATATCATGTTATAATTGTATTTCACTCATAATTTTGCAAAGTTTTTGGCCTCCAGATGGCCATATTTTTCCAAAGGCAACATAGGTACAGCATGATTCAAAAACTTAATTTTTAAAAAAGAACTATATAGGAAAATAATGAAGAAAAATTGTGAACTATGTTATGATCCGTTTTAGGCATCACCATTAATTATGTGATTTAAAAAATTATATACTAACCCCCATGCCACATAAGGCTCCACTGTTTGCAGCATTTTTAATGAAGCTGGTGTCAATTTAACAAATGTGCCACTGTAAATCTTTCTTAATCTCAGCCTCTGTATCACAAGTCGCACCCGAGAGCTGACTCCTTTAATTCTAAATCAACAGAAGTAAATATTGTCATTAGGCAAATCTGCATTTTGGATTTTCCAACAACAACAAAATAACATGGATATCTGTCAATGGTGCACAATACTACTGCAAACCTAAAATCCTTTTAATTCAATAGCTAATTCTCAGACATAGATGTCTTGATACAACATATGCAATGATTATTTTCAATTTCAAATCAATTTCAAATCTTTATTGTCAGTGCACAACATATGTACAATGAGATTGGTTGAGCTCCCTCAGGTTTCAAGTCTTTTCTTAACGTACCATGATCTGATACTCTAGCTCAAAATATTTCCGTGTCATTTGGAATTTTAGAAATTGTAGTTAAAGACACATAGAAAGCATCAACTTGATAATAAAATGGCCTGATTTAAAGGTTTGATGTTAAAAAAAAGCAGAGAGTTATAAATACTTGTATAAATCTTAGAATTGAGGATTCAATACCAAGTACCCAGTTAATAATCTTTAGTGCTATCAGTAGGTAGCACTAAGGATTATTATCAATATCACTGTGATGTGTACTGCTGCACTAGGACTTAGATGCTCTATCTGGAGATGGGAGGAGGGGTAAGATGCTTGTCTTTGTATTACTCATTTGTTACATCAGTAATACCTATAAAAAGTAGCTGTTTATGTAAGCAACTCTACAAGATCAAATTGTTTATTACAGCCATCAAGCCAGGTATTATAAAATATATAATAGAACTGTTACATAAAGAACAATAGACTGTAGTCATCTGCAATTTTAATATTGTAAATAATTTCCTTGCCAGTCCTTAACAATTCCAACTATCAGAGAGAGGACAGCCTTCCCACAAGTATGTCAATTCATCAGGAAGGAGCCACCCTATTAAGGTAATTAATTTACAATCCCTTATTGGTGAGAACATACTATCCTTACTTCACAGGGTTATTTTTATTCCTTTAGAAGCAGTAAGAGCAAACTCCTGTTAAAATAATTATACAAAGAATGAAGTGTTCCTTACACTGCAATTCGTACAGCAAATGCCAGTTTGTGTCCATCAGGCATTGTCATCTGCCCAGGCTTATGTTCCATGCGCCGCAGACGGACATCATCTCTGTGTTTCCTCTGAGAGTCTCTCAAAAAAACTTCAAGGCGTTTGAATCTGATCTGTTTTCCACTCTGATGCTGTTAAAAAAACAAAAACAAGTTTTTAAAAATACACATACTTAAATCATTGTGTTGCTATTTATATACTGCAATTTTAATGAGAACTAAGTGTTTTAAAAAGCTTCCAATGATAGTGATCTAAAGGTTAATAGTTAATTAGATAAGGGATAAAGGAGTAAACTACAAGGAGGCCAAGTGAAAAATAAAATATGTCTGGTTTTTGATGAAACAAAAATTTTGTTATAGCAAAAATTAACATTTAAAAAGTGTTTATGAAATTCATCACTTAGGTATACCACTCAACCACAGTATTTTATGTATTGATTTTTATTTTTACCTGCCTTTTATTTTGATCAACTCAAGGTGGCATACCTTGAGTTGATCATACCTAATACTTTCTCCGTCATCACTACTACAACGCTGTGAAGTGAAGTGAAGTGAATTGGGCTGAAAGAAGAGTGACTGGGCAAGCTTTCATTCCTAAGTAAGGACTCGAGTCTCCCAGTCTATGATCCTAATTACTATAACAAATTGGATCTCAGTAAGCTACCATGATTCATACAACTATATGAAGAATATTATAACTAGGTGTTTATAAAAAAGGAACAAGAAAAGTGGAAAGATTTAATTTCGTGAAATGTAAGCATCAACCTGTAAGAAAGAATGAGGAGACACCACCTATTCTTGGAAAAAGAGCCATAAGACATGTGAAGACAAACCACAGAACATATCAGATATGACATCAATTCCTGTAAACTAACTAAGAGAGCATGATACAACTTATGTGTTTATTCATATTGCATCCCTTTTAAATTTGATTTATTTTTTTAAAAAAGAAGATCCTCTGGTATTTGCTTCTTCTTAATCTCACAGTCCCTAACAGAAATACTGTTTGAGAATATTTCTGCCCCAAGAAATCCAGGCTCTTCATCTTACCGATCTTATAACATGGTTTGCCCTACATTAGGTGACATCCTACCTTTCTCTTGTCAAGTAGGGCTTGCTTTGCCTGGGTGGCCTTGATTGCCTGATAGACCTTTCTTTTCTTTAGGATATTTTCTGGTACCAAAGGAATCTTCTTTGGAGGCCTAAAAGTAAAGCAAGCATTATTTAGTATAATTCAGTGCATTTGTATTTAAAGAAAGCTATTTTTACACCCACCGACAAATGTTAACAGACCTTCATGCTTAGGAAGAACCCCTGGTAGTCCCACAAATACCCATTGGCTGCATGCATAAACTCTCCTTTGGGAGGGAAGGTGCAGTTTCCTATCTAAATTCTGGTTAAATGTATCTGGACCCGCATACTTCTTTGGCCCGATTTTCCTCAGGGATTTTATCAACTGCTTTTCTCTCTGAAGAAGCCAGCATTTTAAGTCAAGCAACTTTACTCTGTTTCTCCTTCCGGCCCAACACGAATTAAGCCCCCCTTTCAAAATCTTGGTCCATTAAACGTTCCCGTCCCATCGAGGCACAGCTTCTAAGAAATCAAGGCTTTCCCGCAACGACCTTTCTCTTACCGATTCAACGAAAACTCAACCCCCACCTCTTTTCATTAGCCTCTATTTACGAATATACAGTCCCACAAACTTTCTAAAACTGCGCCCTATCGGGAGATGGAAACGGATTTTCCTACGTATCAAAACTCACTCGAGCTCCGCCATGGCTCCTTCCTTCAGATCCTGGCTAACGGCACCGCGCATGCGCAAACTGACGGCCGCAAAATTGAAGGAAATGATTCGTATTGGAGTCGTAAAGCGTCTCTGTTATGAATCCTCGGCTTCGAAAAAAGCGTTAGGTTGGTTCCTTTTTTGGTTTAAAACGTAATCCAATGTATAGCAGTCGTTTTTTTTAAAAAAAAAATAACTGGTATCATTGCGGAAAGGGACTTTTCTGGATAGCTTTGAAAACTCGGAGGAGAAGGCAGAAAGTGGCGCTTTCCCATTGAAACCCGCTGAGAAAGAATAAGCCTCCCAGATCTGGGTCATACAAATCCAGGTGATTTCTCCCTAAACGATCCGGAAGATCTAAAGCAGTGTTTCTCAACCTTGGTAGCTTGAAGATGGGTGGACTTCAACTCCCAGAATCCCCCAGCCAGCAGCGTTGGCTGGGGGATTCTGGGAGTTGAAGTCCACCCATCTTCAAGCTTCCAAGGTTGAGAAACACTGCTCTAGAGTTAGTCCAGATTAGATAAGATTACAATTTAAGTGTTTTGTCTTGAAGCCACTCAACAAGATCTGGTAGGAAGTAAGAGATGGAGAAATTGTACAACCACTTAGAATTTTAGTGCAGGTTTTATTTCAAGTTTTGTGGTGTTTTCAAGGTTTCCGGAACTTCGAAAACGCAATATCGGTGCTAAGATAGCCATGAATGCGTAGGAAAGTTTTATGCCCAGCTTTCAATATTAGTACTGCTGAACATCCCAAAGAGATGGCCATTAATTTGCAAAGATAGGGCTCATTCCTATATACGCTTCCTGTTCCAAGAAGGCAACACGACTGCACGTGCTTAGTTGCTTTATGTTTCATTGATTTCATTGTGAGTACTGTATTTGTTTTCTTTTAATATGAAGAATAAATGAAGGTACAGTATAAGGAACATTGTGTTGGTGGTGTTTTGTTTTGTTTTGTTTTGTTTTGTTTTTTTTGTTTTGTTTTGTTTTGTTTTGTTTTGTTTTGTTTTGTTTTGTTTTGTTTTGTAGAGACGGGACACATCTCCAGTTACAACTGCTTAAAATTGTAAATATTTTTCCCCCCGTTTCTGATTTTTTTTCTTCAGCAGAATTTTCAGAAAAGGATGGTGGGGAGAGAGGACTACTGAAATTGAAAAGTTAGATTTCTCTAATAAAGTATATAACAAACATACATTTGAAATGGAGTGATTTTGTTATTTCTTGTCTTTTTCTATCAGAAAGTTTTGTCCCCACAGCAGTCTTAAGTTGCTCAGTCCCTTTAAGTAAATTATCTGAAAATGAAACTGACATAAGAAAATCATTTCCAGATTTCAGCCTCTTTCTCCACTTCTGATGGCCTGGCACTCTGTCCTAGCTGCTTATCACAAATTGGATTGATGCATTCCTCTGCTGTTTGACTCCTCCCACCCTTACTGGGAAAGCAAGGATCTTTCCATAGACAGGACATTGAGGGCATGTGGGATCCATTGAGGGCATTTTGTATAGAACCCCGTCTAATATGTTCCCTAACACCTTCCTGCCTAGAATGCCTGACACCTTCCTGTCTAGAGTGGACATAGATAAATTATTTTTTAAGGAATAATTGCTTTCTCCAATGATTGCCCTTGGAATTATGGCAAAATGAGATAGAGTTTTGTGGTTTTTCCTTCTAGTGACATGTCTGGTGTTATTCGCTACAGTATTTGCATGTTGGTCACTAAAACTCAAGTTGATTTTCTTCCTGTCTTGCTTCTTTAAGGTCCAATTTTCACAATCAGGTACACAATAGAGAAAACTAACCTACATTTGGTTGCCAGGCTGATGTCCTTGCTTTTCCATATTTGGCTCATGTTCATTGTTGTGTGACCCAGTGCAATCTGATGTTTTATTTCTGGGCTGCATTCATGGCTTTGAAAGATCTGAGACCTTAGGAAAATGGATTTTTCTAGGCATTCTATCTTTTCACTATCAATTTCTATTTCTATTCTGTGTTTCCATTCCTTTCAGTGATCATGAACTTGGCCTTTTTGATGTTCAGAAAGAGATCAAAATCCTCACTTTTTTTGCTTACATGTTCCAGGCCTTCTTTGGCTTTTGAGAGGAGAGTTATACCACAATTTTATCACATTTTAAATATCCCTTGGGCTAGAAAGGGAAAGTGGCAGCATTTTTGTCAATTCTACCAGCTTTAAAAGAAAAAGAAAAAAGCCATTAGCTGTTCATATTTTTCTTTCATAAATTTATAATAAAGACAAAAGTACCTTTCACCATTCTACCAGTAAATAACAACAGTTTTCATAAATCCACTGGTGAAACAATGTGGAACAAAAAAAATAAGGGTATATTCACCATTCAAGGTCCTTTGAAAAGATAGCAAACAGCCCAGTAGCTCAGGACAAATTGACCTTGGACTAGAGATTAGATGTAATTTACTTTGCACAGTAGCTAAGTAAAATAGAAATCTTTGCCTACTACGAAGGGCTGTAGCCAAATCAATATTTATGTTAGTTATAGTTTTCAATATGTATTATTCAGTACTGTTTCAACTTTTCCTGTAAGATAGAAAACCTATATAGAGTAGCACTATTGAAAATATATCTACAATAGTGGCCAAAATTGTGGAAACCTTTTGGGAAAAGTGTATTTTGAGGTTTGATGGCTAATAACACCACTTTTTTGGCGGAGTAGTACCAATAAAATTATATATCAATGGAAAGATAATTTAATCAAGAATCTTTTCAGCCTTTGTTTGAGAGATAAAAGTGGCTTTTTTCGTGGAATTCTAGATTTTAGGACAAATTCTTGCAATCTGCGCCGATCAGTCCTTGCACTCAACTTCACATTGCACTGCGCCATTTCATCTTGTATATAGCCAGATGATTTTCTTCTGTCACGTAGGGAGAGTCTCTTAATTCTTCAATCATCACTTGCTGTTGTGCACCTTTTCCTGCCTTTACCAGTGTGGTTTTATAGTGACTGAGTCTCCTTATATCTCTTCAAAAACTTAGAAATGCCACCTTTGGTTAAGTTTCCACTAATTTTTTCTTCTAATTTCTTTATAACTGTACCCTTGTTCACTTAATAATACTATTTTATATAGCTTTCTGTGCGACCAGTCAACTCTTTGCACCATTACTTAAATTTTATTACATTTAACAAGCTCACTAAATGAAAGAACACAAAAAACCCCAACCAACTTGATAGTGATCACATAACACACTGACAAATGTCCTCCTCTCAGCTTCAATACATGACATCAATAACTGAATCCTACTGTGATCTGACTGGCTCATTGCCAAAACAAGATGACACCTGGTTGGGTCTCTAAACACTCATGTTCATTGGCTACAATCAGATGAAGGAAAGGTACCCGATATCAACTTAAGCAAGTTGTGCTTCCTTTTTCTGGTTATTTGGCTATAACTTTTCATAGAATACAGATAATTGAACAAACTTTGTTGCATTACATTCTTGATTAAATTATCTTTCCATTGATATATAATTTTATGGTACTACTCCCCAAACAAATGGTGTTATTAGCCATCAAACCTCAAAAATACTTATCCCGAAAGGTTTCCACAATTTTGGCCATTACTGTATATGGTGACATCAGTACAGATTTTAAAACCACAAAATTTATGATGCAGTAGAACTGTAAACAGAATTATATGTATTACCAAGTGTAGAGGCCTTAAATTCTGCTGAACAACTATATAGAACTATAAAATTATGATTCTTTACAGGAACTTCAAATATGATTAAATTGTATATTTATTGCCATTAAGGTGTCTATTGCACTTAAAGTGTCTTTCACTAATTCTGTAGACAACAAGTCACAGCATATTCCACGTTTACATTTATCTTATTTAAGCAGTCAGCTTTTGCTGGGGCACTCATTTTAATCATTGCTATACCTTTTAAATTAGATGGCACTGAGAGACATAACAAGACAGAACCATGAGAAGGTGAGTTTTGCCACCTTGATTTTCTTAACACATAAGAAGGTGTTAAATAAGCATTTGTTTTCCACAGTACTCATGAAGTTCAATATCTCACTCACTGAAATTTAGATCTGATTTCTATTTTTAAATTGTCCTTATAATGCCCAAGTGCTATTAGAATGAGATAAATTTGGAGCTTCATGACTATGAGCACATTTGTTCTATACTGTGGGATTAAATGTTTCTGTCAAGTAATTTTAAGGATCATAGACTTCAATCACAGAATTAAGAAAGCTTAGATCCATTAAATACAGTAAATGCTTCTAATTCTGAGCAGGAGTAAAATTTTAGTTGTTAATGTCATAATTAATTTTGTCTAGACTATTCACTCATGTTTTGGTATAATTCAGATATAGAAGAGCCTTTCGTTTTCATTTGGAAATCAGTGGAAGCTTTTGTAGCTTATCATTTCTGATAGAATGAATAGACAGACAGACAGACAGATGCAGAGTCTCTTCATTTATTATCACTTTGTATAAACTGCTCGTTTGAGAGATCTTTCATAAACTACTCTAAACAACACATCCGATGAGTTAATATATCAAACTGTTTTGTGCACGAACATCTGTTTTGTGCAATTTAAACATCTGAGTATATATTTGTAATCATTCCAATACAGCTGAATTATTCAAATGGAAAACTTGTCAAAGGTGGTGTTCATCTCCATTTCTTAGCTGAGGGAGCCAGCATTGTTCTAGCAGGAGCTGGAGCAGGAACAAGAGCTCACCTCATCGTGTGGCACTCAGGTCTTGAACCCAGGCTGTCAGCTTTGTAGCTGACAAGCTCAATGACTTTAACCCCTGAATCACTGCACCCCCCTCCCATTATTATTATTATTATTATTATTATTATTATTATTTTTAATTTGATTTATATGCCGCCCTTCTCGGGAGACTCAGGGCGGCTTACAGTGCGTTAAGCAATAGCCTTCATCCTTTTGTATATTTATACAAAGTCAGCTTATTGCCCCCACAAACTGGGTCCTCATTTAACCTACCTTAGAAAGGATGGAAGGTTGAGTCAACCTTGAGCCTTGGAGAGATTTGAACCAGCAGTAAATTGCAGGCAGCTGTGTTAA